GACTTGGACCACAAGAGGCATCAGGGAGCACTTACTGCAGGCTTGAATAATACATCAGAACATTGCCTGGCTCATCTCAGAGGGCAAATTGGCTGCCAGGCAAAATTGAATGAATTTTGTGCTTGGCCACCACAGTGTTTAAATTAAAAGCTAAATTGGTTGCCGACATGTAAAAGTCATCTTTCATATAGAAACATTCTCTTCTCTTGAAAAATTGTAAGATCGGGCAATGCTGGGCTAGTAGTCCTGCCTGGTATCATATTGGCTGAAGCTGAGCAGAGTGGATTTCCCGGTTCGACAGGACGTGTGCTCTCCAGTCTCAACTACCCTCTGGCATCTTACACCCTTGCTAAATTCTCTCCTTTGAGTTACCTGCCTAGCCAGTGCAGACACTTAAATTTGTGACCCTAGGTTGACCTTTGTGGTTGACAACCTTTTTAGTGGTTCTAGACATTTTATGAATCTAGTGAGTTATGGACACTCTTGCCAGCATATGTACATAAACACAAACTTTTATATACAATTTGGAGCTTTGTAGCCCCTCCTAAGGCCAGGCTACAGACTCTTAGGGTGAGAATTCCTGAGTCAGAGAATACATCATTCTCTCCCATTTTTTAACACTCATTTTCCCACGGCTGTTTCCTTCTCAGTGTTGGAGCCTCAGTTCAAATAGCAACTTTGAGAGGCTTTTCCTGACCACCCATTGTAAGGTAGCTGTCCTCCCTTCCCCTGGCCTTCTAGTCCTTTTTAATTCCCGCTTTTATTTTCCCTAGAGGGCTTCTCACTCTCTGAACTGGTCTGGTTTAATCATTAGTTCACCTGTTTGCTGTGTGACCTCCACCTTCACCCCCTCCCCAATACAATATAATGTTGAGAGAGCACGGTATACCAGCGCTGTGAACAGTGCCTAGTACCCAAGAGGCACTTAAAAAGAGCTTGTTGGAAAGGATGGATGGATGGATCCCAATCTCGGGCTTTTCGAGGCTTCAGGTGGAAGGAGCCAGATGAGAGAGCAGTCCTGTAGTTGGTGGCATGGGTTGAGTCCCGTCCCTGGGCCACCCTCCTTCTGCGCGGTGCCAGGCGGTGCCCGTAGGTGCCTGGAGATCGGAAACTTTGGGGCCGGAACGGGCGTGCCGGGCGCGCGGGTGGCGGTGGGGGCAGCTTAACCTGCCGGACCGCGGCGGAGGCCGCGGGAGGGGCGAACCCGGCGGGTGTTCGAGGTGGCGGCAGCGGCATGGCTGGGCGGCGGTTGAACGTGAACGTGGGCGTGCTGGGCCACATCGACAGCGGCAAGACGGCACTGGCGCGGGCATTGAGCACCACCGCCTCCACAGCCGCCTTCGACAAGCAGCCACAGAGCCGCGAGCGCGGCATCACGCTCGACCTAGGCTTCTCGTGTTTCTCTGTGCCGCTACCCGCGCGCCTGCGGTCCGCGCTGCCTGCGCCCCACGCGGCGCCGCG